TACAGAGATGCTCATATTATTAAATCAGCCTTCTCTAAAATACAGTATATACTCTTTGAGAGATAGAAAACTGAAGGTTCACAAAACAAGCAGAGTTACTAGGGGGAGTTTGGTACCATAGTACCAATTTGTGTCCCAAGCAGTCAATCAAATGACGGTACAGTGGGTTTTCCCAACATTAAAATATGATTTGGTCATACCATATCCATGACATTTTGATGAGATAGCATCTACCAGGGCAAAAGTATATGGAGTAAGCCTGTGTAGCATTTAGAAATGGAGATTTATTCAATTTCATGCCTCTCCATAAAAGGGCTAATTTGCATTCCTAGCTTTTGTACAAAAATATCCATATCGTGTTATTTATGCAACCTGGTAGTGTCAAATTAATTTCCTAATTTCAAATAGAACATGTATGTATGTGTTTTAATGATGTCTGTCATTTTTACATCATAATCATTTCTGACAATATCTTGCTCCCCTTTCTTCTTCCCCCAAAGTGAATGCAATCTTGTAAAGAAAGAAAAACAGTTCAGCAAAAACATTCAATACAGTGACTTCATCTGCCAATATGTGTGTATGTGTGTGTGTGCGCGCGTGTATACATATACATACACATCCACACCCCTTTTAGAGTATACATCTAATCTAGACTGTTCCATCATTTTTTTCTCACAGAAACAGATTCAAGTAGAAGAGTCTTATCTGTATTAGAGGCCTTGTAAACAGAGAATATTTGGGAGTGGCAAGATGACTACAATTTGACTCCATTCTAATTATAAATTATAATTTATGTGATTATTAGGTTTTCAGTTTTGTATGTCTTAGAGTTGTTATTGGGTTTTTTGTGTATATGTGTGTGTGTGTGTGTGTGTGTGTGTGTGTACATAGATATAGACATATTTCTGCTTTAGTAGTCCCCCACCTTTCTCCCAAGAGGAAGGTGTGTTTCCTTAACTTTTGCTCAGGGCAACAGTTTTTCAGATGTTAGTTCCCTTTTTGTGATCTTTTCATTTACGTTACTGAGTTGACATGGGCATTTTCCTTTTTGTTTTGTTCATTCACTCTGCATCAGTTCATGAAGCTCTTTCCTCAGTTTCTCATATTTGTCTTTACTTGCTCCACAATAATATTCCATTGCATTCATGAAGCATTGTTTTGGTGGGTTTTTTTGAAGTTATTAATCAATGAACACCCACTTTGTTTCCACCAAATATGCTGACATAACAATTTTGGTGTAAATTGGACCTCTCTGTTTCTGACCTCATGCCCAGTAGTATGATTACTCCCATTACATATTAATATAATTTAATTAGAGAGTTATTTAGAAAATCAAAATTTATGAGCGTCTCAACCTCTACACTTAGATATATTCTTCTTTTGACTCTCATAAAAATGAAATCCCAATTTTTGGCAGTCACAGAAAAGTGGATGATTCAGGAAGGAAGGATTGGTTTAACTTTATGAGGCATGAAAATTTTCACTTAAATTGAATCAAGCTAAATTTATCTGTGTTTGGTCATCATTAAATTATCAGGCAAATATACATATGTACACTCATCTACATGTTTGTATATGTGTGTATTTATATATTATAGAGGTATTTTCCCTTCCTTTTTCCCTGTTTAAGTATTTAAGAATATACATTTAAAGGAAATTGTTCCTGCTGAACAGTACTCCTTTAAGAGTACACATCTAGACTGTTCCATCATTTTTCCTCAGAAAAACAGATTTAAATAGAAGAGAGTCTTATCTGTATAGAGGCCTCCTAAACAGAGAATATTTGGGAATGTTCAGATGACAAGTTGCCTCCTAGTTCTGATTATAAAATTATAATTTATGTGATTATTAGGTTTTTTATTTTGTTTGAGGGTTAAGGTGTCTTTTAAGTTATAACTAAAATCTAAATTCATAAATAAGGGAATGTCTGTATTTGAAATATATTTTAACATTGTCATATCAAATCATTAACACATTTAAATGACAAAACCCTGAATTTTATTCCTCTTATGTTCATCTCTTTCATTCCATGAGCTATTAAACATCTACTTGTCAAAAGCCATTCCTCAGTAGTTAAGGGGAAGTCAAAGGGTAAAAACAAATAGTTCTTAAAGAAAGATTGAAAGCTATTAACAACCATATGAAAGAATACTCCAAATCACTCATGATAAGAGAAATGAAAATCAAAACAACTCTGAGACCACACCTTATATACAGAAAGTTAGCAATAATGACAAATAATGGGAATAGCCAATGTTAGAAGGGTGATAGAAAGACTAATTGGGTTTTTTTGTTTTGTTTTGTTTTTTAGGCGATTGGGGGTAAGTGACTTACACAGGGTCACACAGGTAGTAAGTGTTAAGTGTTTGGTCTGAGGTCACATTTGAACTCAGGTCCTCCTGACTTCAGGGCCGGTGCTCTATCCACTGCGCTACCATTCTTTTAAATGAATCAGTTTTTGCATGTCTACAGATAAAGTCACAAAAGCATTGTTTAACATTATCTGCTGTCCATTGTCATCTTAGTCTCTCAGAATATATCAGGATGTGTCGTTTTGGGGAGATGTTTGAAAATCATCCACAAAGCTTTGTCTTCTTAAAGCTATTCATTTTCTATCCATTAGATAATTATAATATGGAGAACGAGCATAATATCATATGTAAAGAACTGGCCTTGGAGTTTGAAAAGGCTGGGTTTAAGTTCCAGTACAGGTATGGATCAACACTGATAGAGGAAATTTCCCCACAGCAATGAAATCATAGGTCCAATTTAAAGATAAATAAATAAATACAATAAATAGATCATGATATATGATATATAAAATACATGTTTAAATTTATATAAATATATTATATATGCATACATATGTAATCAGATCTTGTGTTTAAAAAGTTTACTAATAAAAAAATTACTTTCTGTTCAATAAGAGGAAGTGTGGTGTGCAGAGTCAGTGGACCTGGGTTTGAATCCTGACATTATTATAGTCATCACTCATGAATCTGTACTGTCATCATATATCTGGGGTAGCAGTAACCTGTGTGCCTTCCAGCAAATCATGTCACCTCTCTAAGCCTTAGTTTCCTCATCTGTAAAATTACAGGGCTGGACTAAATGAGCTCTAAGGCCTCTTTTGTGGCCTGTGAACCTGTGTGCTTTAAATCTGTGAACCTATGTGCTTTAAAATGTAGCTTCCTCCAGGATTCTCATTGTTTCAAAGTGTGTCTGTTTGGTAGAGTATCTGTGAGCCCTTCTTCCTGTTTCCCCAGTTTAATAGTACTGGCATAGCAACTAATACTGAAATTGGCTAACTGTATAAATTGGAGTTTATGGGGTTCTGTTAATGCAGGAACACATGTAGTAAACAAAACTCATATTCAAAAAACTTTGTGGTTTAGAAACCTCATTGCTGTAGGACAAATAGGGAAAGAAATTTCCACTTACTATGGCCTTGATTAGTTAAGAAGGCACAACTTGTGAATTTTAACAAAGAGCAAAAACTGCTTAGCATCCAGGAAACCTAAGTAACCCAGCAGTTGTTCGGCAACTCAGTGATTTTGAATGGTCCCTTGAATTTCTATTTTAAAAGCCAGTCATTCTGACTATACACATTTTCAGCAGGCTGGCACCCACTTTAAACGGTAAGCTCAGATCTATTCTGTGCTATGCCTGTGTCATTAAAAGTATGCCCAGAGAAAGAGAAGATTGAGAATAAAAAGTGAATTTATTTTTCCTTAGGGGAGAGCAACCCCTTCCATTTGTTATTAGTCATGAGTGGATATTTTGTATAACCTGCCTTCTCTCTGCATTTAATTACCCATGCCAGGTAATAGGAAGAGAACAGGCAGGGCTAAAGTCTGACACACAGTGCTAATTAATAGACATGAGGTGTGTGCTGACTGATCTAGCCTTGGAGATCCCCAGGAAAGAAGGACAAGGATAGGAATTGCGTACAGTCAGCCAGGTTGAATTATACAGAAGAGTTCTATGTGCGTAGGGAGGCAGGAGTGGGAATAATGAGCCAGATAAAATGTGGGAAAGAGGAAGGGAAGAAGAATTGGCACAAATAGGAAACTGTATAAAGTAAATGCCCCCTTTTCCTGAGGCAATTGACCCATTGACCCCAAAGATTAGAAATGAGATGGAACCCCACCCCTCCCAAGGACAGTAAAATTTTAGTCACAAGTTCCTTAGAACGTAGAAGCTGTCATCACTTCTGGAATTAACACTTGTTTCCTGGATTCCTGACCCGAAGGCCAGATGCTTTTCAAAGCAGCTCCCTTCCTTAAAAAGCTAATTTAGGAAGAAGGAAGAAGTACAGTATTTGCTGGTGTGCTCCAGCCTTGACATACGCAGCAGATAAGATTGTTTACAGATAATTACAATGCTGTTCAGGTCTTCTACCATCTTGTTTTGCCAGGCTTCTTATTTATTATCGGTTAGATAAGAAATTTATTAAGCGCAGAAGTTTGTTCTGAACATGCGCACAAATCATGAAGTATGTGCGTATATTTCAAAAGGACAAAAATATTAGAATTTCTACAATGAACGCTGTTCAGATGAGGCTGCTTCGGAAAATCATAGTAACTATTCAAAAAGGGGAAAGTTAGACATGCATACTGCAAAGGCATTTCTTCTTAAATACCAAGTCTCCTGGCAGCAGAGAATCTAAGAAGTTACAGATAAGGACCCCTACATCATGGGCTGCAGGGACTTTCCACTTGTTCGAGTTTCTGAGTGTTTTGTAACCTCTTGTCAACCTAATGCTTTTCATGCATCTCCTGCCCTGTGCTATTAACTGTTGGAAAGGAGGGGCTACTTAGTAATTCTACACCTGTCTAGCCCACGCCTATCAACTTGCTAAACTTACCAAACGAGTGTTTGGTAAAGCACGAGAACGTCGGAGCTTGGGACGGCTGCGGCTGCCATTGGCTTCTCAGACTCCGGCTACTGACGGCTTACCCATGTACTATGGCACTTGATGACAGTAATTTATATTCCAGGACGAAGAACAAACTAAATGCATCTCAGAATGATCATAAATCTTCAAGACGGAGTAGCTTGCCGCCAGAGTTGCTCATAGGAAATGACATTCGAGGAAGACTTCAAAGAAACATTAAGAATTTGGACCCGGTTCACCTAAGGCGTCCAAAGAAAAGGCCTTCTATATTTCCAGGTAAGATAAATTCTGTTTTTTCTTAACAAGTGCCTGCTAGTTTAAAAAAAAAAACTAACCTTTATTTCATTAGTTCTGCTTTCAATTCAAAATTCGCTTCAGGCATGATTGAGCTTCATAGCTGAAAAGCAAAACAGGCATGCTTAAATTTAAAAATCTAAACAAATCTGCATGTGAGAAAATACTATCTTATTGTTAGGGATTTTTTCCCCATACATTTTCTTTTATATGCAAATGAATAGGTGAAGAATCTGTGATTTTGGTCTGAGTCTAATATTTCAGAAATAAGCACATTTAAACACAGAACTTAATGTACCTTAGGTATATTTCCAAATAGCCAAGCATCAGTCACTGGACTGTTTTTCTTGCAGTTCTGAAGAGCCTAGCTTGCTGCTTCTGAAAGGGATTTATTTGCTTTACTTTCCTAAGATACTGACTTGTTAAATGAAACTGATGTTTACGTGCAGCCAGAAATTAACACCATTAAATTCTCAGATGCATGCTTTGAATTCCTGTCCTGCGTTGGAGCCTGAAAACATTCAGTTGAACAGTTTGAATGGTTAAATTTAGTAATGTACAAGAGAATGTTGAATTTTTTTAGTTCTTGCTGACAGGCTAAATTGGCATTTACTTCAAAGGTGCGTGTATGTACATGATTTATAGGTATTATACATAAGACAAATTCTTAAAACAAGAAGACACTTGAGGCTACAAAACTGTGACTTATTAAGATAATTGATCTTTAAATTGGATGATTTTAACTATGGAGACAATTTGAAGTAATTTTTTATGCAGGGATTTCTAGTAATAAAAAGTACAACAAAAAAACTAGGGGTTACTTTCAGAGTAGTCTTTGGTTAGATCAAGCTGCAAGGGCTGTCTGATAATATGAAACTATTGAAAAGTAAAGAAAAAATCAAGGAAGTTTTCACTGATAATGATAGTTGCCTTGCTGAAATCAGATGCTCTTTAGGCTTCTTTAGGAAGTCACATACAAGTGGAGCAGGGGCTTAAGATCACACTCCAGAAAATAGTCTTATTAAAGGATTTCTGTGGCAGAAGATTTGGTCTTAGGTTTGAGATGAGTCCCAGGTGTAAAACTCTTCTGCAGAAAGCAAATACCTTGAAATGAATACCCCAAGTATTTTTTCTGAGTTATTTTCATTTAAACTTACAAAGAAATCTAGGAACTTCCTTCTTTTTCTCCCCTTTATTCAATTTACCCACTTGAGGGATTAAAAAGTTTTTTTTTTCTGTTTTATTATTATTTCTATTAAATTATTTAAGAATAAAACAACTTTTCTTGTGGAAATTCCTTTTGAACTATCCTTAGCAACTTCTCACCAATGTATTCCTGACTTTTATTTTACCCTAGCTTTCCCCTTTCTGTTTTCCTTTACCAGGTGCATATATCTCGCTTCCCAGTTTGCACCTTCCCCTCCCCCCAGCTCAATTCTCCTCTTCTGTAATCTGAAGGAATCTCTTCTTTTCTAGCTACCATGATCTTTTTCCTAAATCTTGTCCTAGGAAAAGACCCTAGTACGTGCTGTTACTATTTCTACCACTGCTCATGATTTGGGATCATACAGTTTAGTACTTCTAAGTAAAGTGGCTTAAGCTGGGAGAAGACCACCTACTTAGCCTACCACTTGTCTCTGATCCTGCCCGGTTTATCTTACCCAAGATCGTAGGCTAACATTGTAATTAGTTTCACTCAGGTTGCACTGCCTTCCAACTTAGATGCGCCAGATACTCTAGTGCCTTGTAAATGTTGCCAGAACACTTAAACATTCTGCATGAAGTGAGATGTACACTCTTATTTTGATGTTGACACCTGTCCAATCTTTCTAATGAGAGGCCAGAATAGAGGGTTTCTGGTGGGTGGACTAGCTTTTATTCTGAGCACTCACAATCTAGATATCTAGTGGCAACTCTTTTCTTCCTTTGGGTTTCATTTTCTTTATTCTCTTTTCAAGTATGAAGCTAAACCAAGGAGTTACTAGGGTGGGAATTAGGCTGAGGATGATGAGGGACCCTGATCACTTTCATAGAATCATGAGGCCCTAATATTTGCAGCTTCTTTCCAAATAATGCCCCACTTTGGATTATGGTTAGGTACTACCATCTATTGGCAGTATAAATAAATACCGGAGTAGTGATTATGAAGATGATGATGATGGTGTGGTTGATCTTGATGTTGTTGTTGTTCAGTCATTTCAATCATGTCCAACTCTTCATGACCCCATTTGGGGTTTTCTTGGCAAACATTTTCCTTCTCCAGTTCATTTTACAGATGAGGAAACTGAGGCAAACAGGGTTGAGTTACTTGCCCACAGTCAAACAGCTAGTAAGTGTCTGAGGTCACATTTGAACTCGGGAAGATGAGCCTTCCTGACTCCGGGGCCCAGCATTCCATCTACAAGGCCACCCAGCTATCCTAAAAAAATGGAGGAATTAACATTTACCAATTGCTAATAGACAATTTTTTTTGTCATCTAGGCATTTTTTTAGTCATGTCTGACTTTGTGGTCCCATTTGAGGTTTTCGTGGCAGAGATACTGGAGTGGTTTGCCAGATGAGGAGCTGAGACAAACAGGATTAAGTGACTTGCCCAGGGTCACACAGCTAGTAACTGAGGCCAGATTTGAACTCAGGAAAAGCAGTCTTCCAGGTCCAGCACTCTATCCACTGTGCTACCTAGCTGGATGATGATGATGATGATGATGGTGATGATGATGCTGTTGCTGCTGGTGGTGGTGGTCAAAATCATGTGGGAACAAGATGAAATATATATCATCCCTTTTGTCCTATCTGGTACTAGAGTTGTATCAAGGGTGCTTTCAGTGAGCCTACATAAGATGAGCTTACATCTTAACACTTCCATTCAACTATAAAAAACAATAATTTTATCCACCTGTGCAAGAATTCAAAAAACATTGTATGTAAAGGAATAAGAGCATGATAGCAACTTGTCCCAGGACCATGTCTATCTAAACACCATCCAAAAAGATAAGGTTGAAATAATCATGATACAATTAATCACCTACTGAACACCTTGCAAGGCATGACCTGAGGACTTCAGTTAAACATCAGAAGTTAGCAATCTTCCATTGATTAACAGGAGACAGACAAATCCTTGTGCTACAGATACAGACTTCAAATATCTTAGAGGATTCAACCCATAAACTGTACAAGAATCAAGCCTTCATCACAGAATTCTGTCCTAGCTCTCTTCTCTTTTGCCTCTAGACTGTCTCACTTGGTGATCTCAGCAGTGCCCATGAGATTAATATCATCTCTCTCCTGGTGATTACCAGATCCTTATATCCCTTCCTAGTCTCTGTCCTGAGCTACAGCCCTACGTGCCCACCTCCCTTTGGAGCATTTTAAAGTAGATGTCCCATAAGCATCTCAAACTCAACAAAGTCAAAATAGAGCTCAATTGTCTTTTACCCCTCTTCCAAACTGACCTGTTACTGTTGAGGATGTTACTATCCTAGTCACTTGGGCTTCCAACCTGTTTCATTGTTAACTCTCACTCACTCCACTATCTGTTCCATTGTCAAATCTTGTAATTTCTTCTTTCTCAACTCCTCTCTACTCACGTGACTACCATCTTAGTGGTATCTTCCTTTGCTTGAATGATTAAAATAGCCTTCTAACTGGTCTCTCTGCCTCAAGTGTCCGACCCATTCAGTCCATTCTCCATTCAACTGACAAAATGATTTTCTTCAAGTATAGGTCTACTTAGGTCTCCCCCATTTTCTATAAATTCTAGTGGCTATCCATTACTTCCAAGATCAAACATATAGACTCCTGTTTAACATTTTTACTGCCTTCATAACTTGGACTTTGTCGTTGTTGTTGTTTAGATGTTTCAGTCGTGTCCAACCTTTTGTGACCCCATTTGGGGTTTTCTTGGCAAAGATGCTGTAATGGTTTGCTATTTCCTTCTCCAGCTCATTTTACAGATGAGGAAACTGTGGCAAACAGGGTTAAAGTGACTTGCTCAGGGTCACACAGCTAGTAAGTGTCTGAGGCTGGATTTGAACTCAGGTGTTTCTGAATCTAAGCCCAGCACTCTATCCACTGCGCCACAGCTGCCCTAACTCGGGTGTTTCCTCCATTCCAGTCTCCTTATACTGTATTTCCTTCTGCACACTGCACATCGGCAGCCGTGGTTTGCTGGAGGTTTGCTGTTTCTCACATATAACATGCCATCTCCTAGCTCTGTGCTATTTTATTAGCTCTTCCTTTTGCTCTGTAATACTCTTCCTCCTCTCCTCTTCCCCTTAGTTTTCCTGACTTTCTTCAAGACTCAGCTAAAAGCCCACCTGCAAAAGGTAGCCTAGCTGTAGCTGCTAGTTCCTTCCCCTCCGAGATTATTTCCATTTACTCTGTGCTACATTTTATCTGTCTTTTTTTTTTCAATTTGTCTAATTAGAATTCAGTTCCTTGAAGGCAGAGATTATTTTTTGCCTTTCTTTGTATCTCAAGCACAGGGCCTGTCACTTAAGAAACTCTTGATAAATGCTTTTTCACTAACAATGATCCATAAAAACTTAAGAACAACATTTTAATAGATGTTTTCACAACAAATGCTAATAGCCTCCATATGATGTGGAATGAAAAGCTTTCCAAGTAGAAGAAAGCCATCAGAAATCAAAATAATGTGGGAATGGGATAAGGGATATGTCATCCCTCCTCTTGTCCAGTCTGCTACCAGACTGGTAGTTTCAGTCAACCTACAGAGGATGAGTTTACAGTGTAACATTTTTATTAAACTTCAGAAAATAGTGTTCCATACTCTGTATAAGATTAAATATGAAAGAATAATAGGATAGTTACTTGTTCCAAGACTGTTTCTATCTGAATTCCAATCAAGAAAGATGTTTATAGT